AGGGACATAAACCAGGACAATTTCAAACTGTGACACAGGATAGAAGTATATTAAAAAAATCTTTGTTCCTCCTCCATTGTGCTGTCATGTTGCTCAGCTTTATAGACATTCTGAGCACCAGCTCTGGCCTCTTCGCTTCCACCTGGTCTACCTAATTAATTAAGCAAGGAAGTTACCTCAAATTTTTGTACTATTTGTTTTTACTATCATGCACTTCTTTTGATGTTCCAGGAGTTAACCTCTTAATCCACAGACTTTGTGTGTTGTGTTCTGAACATTTTGGGATGTCTGGATAATTTGGATAATTGGTCAGGATGTTGCTGTCGCTCATGTTAAACTTTATGCTATGACTTCAAGTTCAAAGATCAGTATTAAGGTAAAATACTTCATAAAGCCTTTTTAAAACTCTACACTTGTGATTATACGATACCCAGTTATTCCAGTTTGTCACAGTGGTTAGGTTGCACTATTTGTATTTTCTTACAAGGAAATTACTCTTAAACATCTTTACCTTTGTCAACTTCAAATACATACAAATTTCTGTTGAAGTTACATCAAGAGAAAGCATATTTTAAAGGTCAAGAAAAGGTATAGCAATTATCTCCTCAAAAATGATTGCCTCCTTCACACAGCAGCACACATGTAATTTTCTGTGCAGTCTGTTATTCACACATGGAAACATCAGCACTGTGACCTACAGATGCTCAGCTGCAAATATCACATTTTTTCTTTTTGGAGGGAATGATAAAGAATGAGGTTAATTCTGACACAAAGAAACACAGCTGACATCTTTGCTTCATAACTACTACAGAATCTGAGCACATCACTGACGAAGAACTGAAAGGTTATCTAAACAAGGAACATAACTTTATGCACAGACTATACAAAGGAAGACAAGGAGAACATAGAAAGATATGAAACTGCTTTTAATACTGATGCAGGAGATCAAAGTTACATCAGGTACTCCAATAGCTCAGTTAATGCACTGGCTAAGGGGTAATGTATCACTGCGACCTTCAATTACTTCAGTAGTTTTGAAAAACTAAATTCACATATGTGCACAAAAATACACGTGTCCATACACACATATATGCACATACATGTCTGTATATCATACACCTTCAATATTGGTTTTCTAATTATTGTTCTGATATCAGAAATCTGCAACTGCCATTAAATGGAAATAAACTAGAGCAAAGAGCAGCACTTAAGGTCTTTAAAAGGGCATGGTCAACCTCCCTAGGCCCAAAATGCCCTTTTTGAATTAACATAGTGGTTTTTTATTAAAAACTAGGCAAGGAATCAGTCTGAATTTCAGGAGAGCACTGCATCCGTCCATGGCGAGTGTCTAATTTCCGAATTTCTCTCCTCTGCACAATATGCAAGCCCTTGGTTGTTTTAAACTGTTGCCCTGGGGAATTAAACTGAGTCTACAAGGGGGGCCATGTGCCATTTAGAAAGTATACTAGCAGCCAAGAAAAAAAACCTTAGCAAATTGGAAGATGGTTAATCAAACCCATTCTGATTCAGGAAACTCAAACAGTTAAGGGAGCAAGGCTACAATACAGGAACATGGAAAGAAAGGTTATACAAAGCTTTAACAGCAACCTATGAGCTATTTGAAATATCATAGCTTGCAAAAAAGTCACATTACAGTCAGTGCATAAAATCAGCTCTTATAGTACAGTCTATGATAAACACTCAAACAGATGGCTAAAAACTTTGGGGGTTAGGTCCATATGTGATAATAACTAAAATTACTGTTGCTATTTAATCTGAACAAAGACATCCATTAAAAAGTAAAAAAATCTGTTCCATTTCAGAAATGAACCTCTTTTAATGATTCATTTTCAGAACTTTTATCAAAATCCAGCCAGTAATTCATACGTGAACACGTTCAAATAGACATCTCCACTGTGCACACCTAAATCTCAAATGACCTATGTAGTCATTATAACGAAGGTAATTCAATGACAAATCCAAGATGACTTGCATAAAAGCTTCCATGGCAGCAGCCATCTTATCCAAATTTTGAGCTGAGTTGGGTATCTAGAATCAACTGCTTTTACAACTCCCAACTGAAAGATTAAAGATTACATATCCATGCCAAATCTCTTTACTGAATGTCTTTACACTTACAGTAGCTTGCTCTTCTCTTAAATGCTGCAAGTTTTGCCAAATGTATGAAATGTTCTTTTAAATTGAGACCACTGAAATCTTGATTTTTCCAGCGAACAGTAATAGCATTTGAACAATGTTTTATCTCTCTGGTCTATTAGTTTGATGTGATGGATGACAAAATACAACATTTTTTTAAATTTACACAAAATAATTTGTTAAAGTAACAGAATTCTACAAAGCAATCATGGTCTCAAAATATTATCTGAAAAGAGGTAAGAAATATAACAAAAATCTACAGGAAGTAAAATAAGATGGGAAATACCCTTCCTTCACAGATTCTAGAACTGAAAAGCCTACATGTAATCCTGAGTTTGATTAATCATAAATTTTCCCAGATTCTAACCACCCAATTATGTGATGTAATATTTTAAAATATATATAGTAATTATTGCAAGTAGAATTGTTTATCTGCATGAGCATCTGAACAGAACAGCACATTCAATTTTAACTACCAACTTAGTCCAGAAGTGACATCTGCCATTTATTTTCCAACTAAAGTGATCAAAGACAAGGTATGTTCATATTAAAATAGACCACAATTTCTACATCTTCACCATCGGCCTTAAGGCTCACTCCAAACTGATCAAACAATTCAGTATGTCTGCATCCATTTTGGGTACTTTGAAATAGAGCAGTCTGGTAAAACAGATATTGGAAAAAGGCCTTGAGCACTTATACCAGGAATCACATCTGGCATCTGGGATGTTCCAAAAACATTGAGAAGTAAAAAAAAATATTCCAAAATTGAGTTCACTGCCCTTTCAAAAGGTGGGTCTTAATACTAAAATCTGATCTCATCTACCCCATGAAAAAGTCAAACTACTCTAAAGCAGCAACAATCACCTTTTTCCTGACATCTGAAAAAGATTATGGTTCTATCTCATCTGGAGTTACAGATGCTTCCCAGCTTAAACATGTAATGGTCATCTTATTTATCCTGAATGGGATTTATTGATAGCCACTATCACTGTTACTATCAAAGTTTCATGTACAGTGCAAGTTCAATGTATACATAAAGTATCTGCTGGAGCCAAGAGAACTCTGCAAGTCAAGGGGACACACCAGAATGATGGTACCTGGCACGCTAATGGAGAGAATCCTTGGGTTTGTTGGATTGTAGGAGACACAAACCTCACTGAAATCAGTTATTTTTTTAGAAGATACATATTAACAATGGCTAGATACTTAAAGGAAAATGGGGTGGCCCCCACACAAAAACTGGAAGGACAAATGGAGTTGCTAAAAGTTCTTAGGCCTGTAGACACCTGAAGTGGAGGAAGAAGAGAGGAGAGTGTTTTCCAGCCAAGAGTGACAAAAGGAGTTAAACACAGTAGCCCATCATCAAACTCCTTTAAAGTTGACTGCATTAGTTTGGTCATCCAAACTCGTAGCTGAAGGGCCCTGGACACACATCTGCAGTTTGGTCAATGCACGGCAAAGACGCGGCATCATCAACTCAGCACGGGCGACACCAAACAACACTTATGCACCAGCAGGGCCCAGCCAGGGTGGTGTTTTCTGCCACAGCTCAGTCTAAGTAATATCTCCCAGTACCTTCAGCTGTGGAATACAGTTTTCGCTTCTCCACGTTGTTCTCTCAAATTAAAATTTTTCCTAGAAATTACTGCATGAAGGATCTGTTTTCTCTCTTAAATGAGCCCTAAAATCCCAGCTTGAATGCAGCACTTCAGTTGAGTTTTCCCTAATTCCACCAAGAGCAAAAATGGCAACATCACTGCCTCCATGCCAGTTCCTGCCAATGCAACCAGGAATTACGTGTTCCTTCCAAACACAATTATGCCCCTGTGGCTTTACATGACATGCCATCCATCAATGATTCATAGTCTTTCATATCCATCTTTAATTCTTTGCATTTTCCAGACTTCAGATCACTTTCCAAGACCCTTTGCTTTCTGAGAACTGTCATCCAAAGGGAACAGAATTCCCTCAAGTGCAGTATCATTAAAAACAAAAGTGTAATCATTTGGATGATAAAGATTAATGGAAACACGCTACAATTGGTCCCCAGACAGTCATTCCAGTTTAATCTATTTGATATTTATGATTTGAAATTCATTTTGATGTGCCTCCATTATAGTAATTTTTCACTGTAATTCTTTAGTTCACATATTAACACAACCGTTATCATTCTATTGTTCAAAAATTGCTTTGCCAAGTTCCATGCCTCACTGAAATACTTGGCTCTCTTAAGTATATTCAACTAAGTTGAATATTTTAGGGTATTCTTAACCCATTTAAGATAGTTTTCTTAATATATTATTTAAATACTGACCATACTTGAATCTTCTTTGGGACACTTGTAATTTTAAAATTTACAAATCAATCATGTCTTCACAGGATCATCTGTTATTTAATCACCTTTCCCATTAGCGAGAAACCTGTCCTCCTTTTCCTTGTTATGTTATTTCTAGTGTACTTATTGAACCTTCTCTCCTTTTACCATCCCCCAAAAAAACCTCATTTTCAAAAAAAACTTGACTAAACCTCATTTTCCAAAAAAATCTTGACTAAATAATTTCATTTAAACAAAAACAAACAAACAAACAAACAAACAAAAAAAACACAACCCAAAGAGCTAAGTCATTTTCTTGGTCTCAGTACATGTAGCTTTTCAGGATACCTTTTTCCCCCCACACAATGGCTTGTGCAAGACTGTGCAGCCGTATTTACACTTTCACATAAGCACACACATCCCAGAGCCAAATCCTCCCAAATTTATAATTTCAGTTTCATCAGAAAGAAGAGCTGAAAAGGAAATATATACTGCAGTTATTCCATATTTAACAGTGTTTTCCTACCTTTTTCAAGCCAGCAAATCCTTCTGATTCCAGGAAGAAAAACGCAAAGGGCATCAACACAAACAAACATAGATTTGAAAAAAGAGAAGCAAGATTCCACAAACCTGCAACAGACAAGAAAAAGTTTACATTATATGTTTCTAAGGTTTAAAAGTTAAAGATACTACATTTTCCTCCCTTATATATAACAAAGTAGTATACATACAAGTGCTAACAGCAGCCAGGTTTTTATGGATACAGTTATTGGCAGGTCATTGCTGAAAAACATCCATTTCTGTGTAATGATCTTCAAACAAAAATTGGATACCAACTTACACAGCAGCAAACATCTGAAACCACGGAGTACTTCCACAAAACCTCATTGAAGGTTCTTTAGAGAACTGTGTTCAAAGTTTTCAGGACAAAAGTATTTTACTGTTATCAGTGAATCTCACAAGAACCAGTTCTGTGTAATCACTTCCTCCATAATTTTTCCAAGAGAAACTCCGACAAACCATGGATTTTAACATGAGCAATACACAAATGCCATTGTCACCTCCAAACCAGAAGATAGCAACAACAGCCTTCCACTGGCTCAGTAGGCAAGAGGAGAGCAGTAGATGTTGTTTACCTCAACTTTAGTAAAGCTTTCAATCATCTCCTATAAATCCCCTCACAGTCTAATTAAAGAAGTAAGGTCTAGATAAGTGGACTCTGAACATTGGATCAGCTTCTGGGCTCCCAGGGCTGTGACCAGCAGGACAAAGTTAGGCTGGAAGCCAGTCACCAGTGCTATATAAACCCCAAGGAGTTCATGGTGGGTTTAACACCTTCATCAGTGACCTGGGTGATGGCAGAGACCACATCCCCAGCAAGTCTGTTCAAGAGAGAAGAAGGGGAAGAGCATTGTCCTCCCCTGCCACTCCAATGAACCTCAACAGGCTGGACAAACGGACAGAGAGCAGAGAAGAGTAGACTCAGGGAGATTTTATCAATATGTAAAAATATCTGATGAGGGAGGAGGAAAGGAAAACAGAGTCAGATCTTCACAGTCGTATCCAGTGAATGGAGAAGAGGTAATGAGCATGAACTGAAAAACTGGAAAATCTACTTTGCCATAAGAGGAAAGAAGAAAAACAAACAAACTAAAAATCCCAAATGTTTTCCACTGTGAGTGTACTCAAACACTGCAACAGGTTGCCCATAGGTTTTGTAACCTCCACCCTTCAACATATTCAAACCCAAATGGGCAGTGCCTTGAGCAGCCTTCCCTGACCGACTCTGCTTGGAGCAGGTTATTTCCAGAGCTCCTTCCAACCTCAACCATTCTCAACCACGGGAAAAATCAACAACTGCTTACAACTAGGACATCTGTAAGACACATGTGACATCTGCAGGAAGGGAATAGGTTTAGCAAACAGCCTGAAGTGACAGCTAATCTCCATTAGGGTATCTGCTCTATAAAGATTTTTTTAAGCTGAACACTTTCTGAACAGCCAGTTTCTGGTGCCTAAACATAAACCCATCATCACTCATCCTATCAGAAGTTGTACAGGATGTGGTGTTTCTTCTTTATAAAAGCAGAAGCTTACCTGCAGTTTTGCAGCTAAGAGGTCTAACTACTGTCACATGTTCTGCATCCTGAAAAAACCAGCTTTTACTTTGTAGAGAAAAACAGACTTAGTCCCTCACCTTCCCTAAAGTGCACGTTTCCACAATTCTGTGGGACTATGTTGTATCACCTGAATATCACTGAAAAAAGAATATCCCCCATGATAAGAAAATTTGAACTAACAGCTTTGTTTGTTTCCTTTCTTCCCATGTAGAGGTTTTTTTCCTTTTCTTCTTTAAAACTGTTCATTTTGGAAAGAATAGGTAAGGAAAGAGACATTTACTGGGTGTGTGGGGAATTTACTATTAAGAGAATTTCTGTATGTAGTTCCAAATGTAAAATACTTAGCAGTGATGTTCACCTATACCCTCCTAAAAAATGCTTTCACCATATACTTCCTTTCTCCTTAAATTACACTATTTAAATTTGAAGAAGAAATAAAAACAAGGTGGGAAGAGGGAGGCAGGGCACCAAAAGAACTACTACTTCAGCAATTGACAGCACCAGGACACCAGGAACTAAACTTAGCCAAATACACCACAGAAAAAAACCCGAGAAAATTCCAATAGATGCGTGAAATATAACACTCAATTGCTAAGGAAAACAGACTGCCTAAAGGTGGCTAAACTCCAGCTAACAAAGAAGGGGATTTTTCCTTTTGAATTTGCTTAGCCAGGAAGCTCCTGTTACCATTCGAGAAACATTCAGGCATAGCAACATCAGCAAGAATGTCATTAACAGCCCTTAGGAGGGGACATTAACTCAAGCAGTCTGCTTTTTTTTTCCTCCCTAACAAGTAAGACACCAGAGTTAGAGTAGAAATACTACTAGATGGGGGTGGGAGTTTTCTCTAACTGAAGACAGACAGTGCATTTAGTCACCTAATGCAAAGCTGAATACCTGCTTGTCCTAATTTCAGCAGCTCTATTACACATGTATCTTAGAATACAAAACAGTGCTTAGGTGCTGCACAGCATGTAGAGCATTTTAAGGAAGGGAAGAGTGGTGCATATCCAGGTGATTTTTAAGAAGTTAAAATCCACAAATTTACACATTATCAGTTGATACCAACCACATTTACAGAATATTAAATTACAGAGCTACAACATGCACCTGAAGTTGAGAGGGAAGGACAGTGACGTTCTGCTGCTGACAGACAAAAGCACGTTCCTCCAAGGAAGGAACATACAGAGCCCTCCATATTTCTTATCCTAATTTGATAGTCCAGAAATCAAATTAAAATAGACCCAGAAAAAGAATTATTTCCTACTACGCTGACTGCATCATAAAACTGCAAGAGACTTGCAGACATCAACATACAAAAAAGCTTTAAGCTATTAGAATATTTTAATTTTTTTTTCCTTTGCATTTGTAGTGACTTAAGAATGTCCCCCATAAAACACGTTAATAAAACACAGAAATTAAAAATCTCTCAGTCTTTGACAAACAGATTAGACCCTGAGCAACTTCTCATCCTTCTTATTCACGGCAGTTTCATTACGTTTTACCCCCACCTGGTGGTTGTACCCAACAGCAGCACAGGGGAACACCAGCTGTCAGAACTAGTTCTGGGTTTAGTTCAGCATGTATTAGGTAAGAGTGCTCATATTGGATCCAGGCTTTAGAAGTTTTTTCTGCCTTTCTGCCTAGTTTCAAAAATTTGAGGCATATATTTTCTACTTTTCTATATGCCACAAATAAAGCAACTATGTGAAGTATAAAATTCCTTAGTGTCAGGTTCAAGAACCTCAGATTATAGCTGTAATTGATAACTCTAGAAAAAATGAACTGTTTTCAAGCAATACAAATTCTTCCATTTGATAACACTTGCAAAGCAGTACACAAGCCGTACGCGAAGGTTGTGCTGGACAGAGACATAACATGGGCTGGGCTTCAGTGCTTGTGATGGCACTACGAGCTCTCACAGCTCGCACAGGTATTTGCCGCTGACCTCGCCGAGGTCCTGCCAGACACGAACAGGGTTTAGAGCCGGGAAACGCGGATGTGCAAACCTGGCGAGTGCCACAAGAGGGAGCTCTTCCCCCAGGGAAACGTTCCCGCACACAGCTCCAAAACCTCCTGATGCTCCTGGGAGTTCTTCACACCAATGTAACTCACACAAGGTTTACCACAGTCGTACCTGCCCCTGCGGTAAGCTTTGCAATACACACACCTGGAAGCACCAAAATGCTGAATTTACTTTCTTGCTATAGTCACTGCTATTGGACTTACAGAATATAAATTACACTGTGCAGGCATAAAGTGGTACTTTCCAAAGATTACCACATTAAAATCAAAAGAAGATGGTCACTGGAAAATTCAAAAGCCTTCTTATTTGACAGCTACTTACTGCAGCAGCTTTCTTGTTAACCCAAGTTTTCTGCTGTAGTGTAGCAATTCTGACAAAGGGAAAAATTCTGAATTAGCTATTATATCATTTTCAGTCTCTGAAATATTTTACTGTCCTTTTTCCAAAGACAATTCAGACATAGAAGGAAGGATTTACTTTATTTTTTTCTTATGTTTGCAAGTAAAGCATGTAAAGGTCTGAGCAGCCAAAGCCACGCGAAAAATGAGAATTAGCTGGGTTTTTTTCCTCCCACGGAGGAGACACACCAAATTAACAATCCCCTACGATGTGTGACAAAACAAATCATAGAATAACTCAACTAGAAAGAACATCTAAAGTCACATAGTCTAATCTGCCTTTAAAAAAAGCTAAACAGCAGGTGCAATCAGGTTGCTCAGGGCTTTAACCAGCTGAGTTTTAGAAAACTTTCAAGATCTCCCAGTGTCTCTGGACAACCTTTTCGACTGTCCAATCATCCCCAATGTGAAGAATTATCCCTTTATGTTCTGCAAACACCACTTCTGGCCTCTCACTTCACAAAAAAGCAAACAAACAAACAAACACACACCCCCAAAACTCATCCTTGCAAGTGAGGGATCTGGAAAGTCATGAATTTGCTACTTGTGTTATTAGACATTTAGCAAAAGCATACATTTTTTCAGAGAAATATCCACTCAAGCCAAATTACTATCTGTTCACGAGAGCTAAAAGGACACCACAGTCAACTTGTAAATTACTTGTTCCATATTAAATAGTTTCACATAGTAAACCTACTTTCTCCAGCCAAATCTACCAAAGAACGTCCTGTTTTCACCAGTTACTATTTTACTGCATGTCTTTACCACATGATATGCTTATATTCATAGCAAGTTTCTTAAAACATGTTTTTTTATATTGAGAATAAATTTAATAGCTATCATCTTAAAGAGAAAGGAACATGAATCTTGCATTAACACACAAGGAAGAAGCTTGAATAGCATGTTTCAAGTTAGCTTCTAGTAGCTCTTATTTACATTAATATTCAAAGCAATGAATTTGGTTTAATTCCATCAAGTCTGCCTAATTCTTAAAAAAAAAACCAACAGAACAGTTAAGACAGATTTTGTGAAATATCACACAGCAGCAAAAACAATGAGCCAACAGAACATTAACAATTCAATTAGCATATTAAATGAAAATGGAGTTATCATTTTGAAAATAAGAACACATCTGTGCAAGTATAATGAAGACATCCATTTTAATTACATTATGCCGAGTACTAACCATGAATTAGTGAGCCATTTAACCACTGAATATAGTAGTTTTGTGGAAAAGAAAGCAGGATCTCATTGCTGATTATTGAGAAAGGTAGAAGCAGGACTGCACCAGCTGAAACTGCTAGAGTGAAGGTGCTCAAGAACAGCCTGAAATTTAAAGAAATGTACCACTGTTACCACCAACATGCTCTGAACAGGGGGGAAAAAAAGTAGTTAGCCTACCTGTCAATCAGTGTCTGAAGGCAACACATTCTTACACTGTAAACGGGCAGGAAAAACTGGGATTTCCACAACATTTCACTTCCAAAAACCAAATTTAAGTTTTCAAATAGTTTACAGAATCCAGTAAAAGAATTAGTTTTTACCAACTACCACGATTATTCTCTTGGGACTTGCATGCATGCAATTCCAATGTGATACAAAGGTTAAATTACTGGAGTTCATGAAATATCTTTTCATAAGTCTCCTCTTTTAGTTTTCATTTCCCACATACACATATATGCAAGAAAATAAAAAATCCATTTCTATATTCTTAGTACAATTTTTAAAAGCAGAGCAGCTTTCTAATGTCTAAAGAGTACAATTATACATAAATACTTTAACACCAAATTTTAAAAAAATTGCTTTTCTGTCACAAAGTAGTTATTTTAGTTATCATCTCATAGCTGTAAAGTCAATACTCAGAAATTGTCAGAATTATTTCAAATATTTAAGCTTATTCTTTGCAGATCTCAAATACAACTTATAGCAAATGCCATCTTGTGGCATTAAAAAGAACTGCGTTCTTAGAAAAAAAAAACAACAAAAACATTCTTACAGAACAAATACAATGCTACAATAAAATTAGAAATAATTCTAAAAATAGCATGACAAAAAACGTGATCTTAAATAGATCATCACTACAACAGGAGCATCAGTAACTTGCTTACAGAAATTTTACTTTTCCTTAACAGTCTACGCATCCATTTTTCACTTACACAATACTTAATCAAGAAAAGAAAGTCTGAGTGACTAATTTTATTTTTAAAAATATTCTTAGGCCACTGTTGTTGGTTTCTGAGACTTTTTTTTTTCATTGATTTAAGGATGTTTAAGTATTCTAAGACAGAATTGTGAAACCTAACACACTACAGAAAGGTGCTACAGCAGTTTGGTTTTGTTTTCTCTACACACACCCCTATTAAGTCCTGACAATTATGCCACATGAAGAAAAATCTGTGTACAGATGCTTGAGAGTTATTGCTTTTTGAAAAACAACATGCACACTCTTAAGGAACAAGAAAGCTTATGCTGAAAGAAAAACAGCATTTTGTATTTATAATAACACTTCTAACAAAATGCTATTACACTGATGGAAGTGCTAAGCTTGTCTTAAATTGTTCTTCATGTAAACACAGTGTATGTTTGTTGTATTTTAAAGCTAAATTAGAAAACAAACACAGGGGGTTAACAGTTAACAAGACAAATTTTACCCTTTGAATATTGAAAAATGCAGAACCACAGGTGGACCACAGGTGCTATAAAAATAATTCAATCTAGAAGAGCCGTCACTGTAGTCTTAAAAGCACAGGAGAGATGTTCCTGGACTTGAGAAGGAAAAGCTTCATGGCATTTAAAAATATGTATTGTTCTCTAGATCTGAAGTAGACCTTGTGGTAAATAAATGTTTTGAATTCATAAAAAGTATCAGTATCACACTACTGGGAGAAGTGCACCTAAGATTTACATCTCCTTTGTACATCTATTTTACATCTTGTGCTTGCCACCACTGCACACCTAAAGTGAACAGCTTGCAATGTACTCGGCACCTTCCCAGGGTACAAGACAAACCAATAAAGTACTCAAAGGGCTCTCCTTCCAAGAGGATGACAGTACCACCAGGGAAGAGCTAAGAACATTGTCATAAGCAAGTAGTAGGTTCACACAGTTCAGCAAATCATGTAACTGAGATGGCAGCAACAGCTCACGGATGTTCTGTAAATCCTGAGGCATATTTAAATAGGAGATATTAATATCCAGCTTCATAAAGGAACAGGATGAAGACAGAGTTGCTGGCAAACAAGCAGGTCTGGCAAGTGTTTGTCTTCCACTTGTTATTCTTTTTTAAGCTTTTTTACAATGATCAGATACAGATGTCTACTTCAGAGGGAGCTAACTTTCTTCCCAGGATCCACTGCCCCCCTTGACAGGGCTTCCATTGACTACAGGGGGAACTTTAAATACCTGCATTTTAGAGATCTAAACTTAGGTGCAGGTCTTGCACTGAGTTCTACCTCTTGCATCAGGTCCTCACACAATATTCTGGCTAATGCAATGTTCATGCCTACCTGGAAAACCATAGGTGTAAAAAGGACCAAACTTTGATAGCACAAGGTACCACGTAACCAAATCTTTTTCCTTTGTCCTCTAGCAATCTATTTGCTGTCACATCTAAAAAGGGTTGTTATTTATCTGAAAGCACACAAGATTCTTATCATAACAATATATTCAGGAAAAAAAGTTCTGCACAGAAGAGCTATACATACGATATTCTGTTAACAATGGCATCTTCATCCTCTTGCTCATCTGAAAATTAAATTACAGAAGGTTATATTCAATACTTACATGTCTTTCCTCAGGTTAAAATGTATATACATAGGAATAATTTTTATTTACAATTAAAATTTAGACATACAATTTATTAGCATCAATATTTTAAGAAGGTTCCTTCTAAAAATGAATACTCTTGCCTTTTTTTTTTCCCTAGTTGAACTTTCTTCAATCAATGTAACAACCAAGTTATTTCACTTGACTTAAATATGTAGATCAAAATTTCTCAGAAACACCTTCCAGAGGGCTCTGTGGCAAATACACTTTCAAACTACTACTGCCATGGCTGCTACTAGAAACTGTCCCTTTGGGCATCTCTGAAACCAGGGAAAGCAGGTAAGCTATGGCAAAGTCTTAGGGTCCAAGTTAATTACTGCTGGAAATCCCTAAACAGATGTTTCATTTCCAGTATTAATGTCTTCTCAAAACAAGAAAGCCTTCCCAGAGCAGTAGTGATGACTATTCAGTTGCTTCCCCTTACTTATCCCTCTTCCCAGTTCCTGGGGGTTTGTGACAACAAGGAAGGGTCTTGTTATTCTTGCTATTTGTTTTGGATTTAAGGTATCATGGCTTCCCTTCTGGTATTTCACATTTCAGACAATTTTTGTTTACTTATTCCTCGCTTAATACTACAACTATTTGAAATAATATCAACATCTAACTAAGAGATCAATCACTAACATAATTTATTCTTCACAATCTTCTCTACGTCAGTACACAAATGTAAGCATTTTTAAATTTGAAATCATTTTACATTCAGCTTTCTTGCATTTGTCAGGTTTTCCATAAGAGGTAAATCAAATTTATTTTAAAATCTAAGCATAAATAAAGTCAGGTGTTTTACGTACTTAAGAGTCATGCACACACTTGAAATAAACATGTAACCACTAACATCATGCTATTTTGAAATTCTTCTGTGAAAGTACATAGGGTTGTTGGATTTTTTTGATGGGAAGCTCATGGTATTTTGAGAGACTAAGTCAAGGTCTCTTATGAATCATTTTGGCTAAAGAGTTTTTTGGATAAAGAATGAACAATTTGTCCTTAAAGAGTTCCAGTTGTGTTAACTCTTCAAAAATGTCTCATCAGGAAGATCCTAACAAGCTACAAGGTTTGTCTACCTAAATACTCACAGAGCTTTCACAAAGACAGCTGCAGAGCAGTTCCTCTTCCTAGCCAAGACTAAGTGCCAGAAAAAGGTAGTAAAAGTGTCTTTACATCCAACAGTATTTGCCAAACCAGTTTCCTCTTCCTGTTTTTCTGTATCTCCAAATGGTAACAGCTTTGTAGTATCCAAAATACATATTAGGATCAGAGGATAATGTCAGTCTTACTTTCTACGTTTAAAGAGATGCATCTTTTTTTTAAGGTATTAAATTTCATGAAGCATTTGCTTTTTAAAATGTGACTCCTTCTATGAAAGCAGCTCTATCATAACACAGGTCACTATAGCTGAATAAACAGTTTCCATTAAAGCTCAAAGTGCCAAGATCATCATGCACAAGAATGTTTCTAGAGTATGACTATTAGCAAGCACCAAGGTCCCAGATAAGCTGCCAAGAGTCAAAGATTCTGACATTTTATACAGATTTTTTGCTACTGTCTTTAGAAAAAAATATAGATGAAAATGACAGGGCTTCCTACAGCCTAGTTTCAGACAGACAATGTTTCTAAAGGAAAAAAAACTATAGTATTATCTCAAAAAATAAGACTTCAGTGGAAGTCATAAGGAACAGGTTAAGAATACTAAAATAACTTTACCTGAGCAAAGCAGAACTTTTAGAAGAAATAAAGCACTTTCCTTCTGTATCACTGGTAACATTTTACTTTACCAGCTAAAGCTGTAAACTTGATTTTGGTGCTAAAACAGAGCTGAAAATACTTATTCTGGAAAAGCTGACGTGAAAGGAGAGCAACAGGATCTAAAGGTAAAGGAGGCAGAAGCGTCTACTTGACATTAATCCCTTTCTTCCCTCTCAAAAAAAGTTAAAATTTAGGCTGTCACAGTGCCACAACAGAACCAGTGACTGTGGCCCTCCCACTCAATCACAGAGTGAGAACGTCACTGATCCCCTTCTGAGACACTTCAGTGCTCTCCCTGCCCTGCTTGGTGATCCCACATGCACAATGAAGGACCCGAGGAGTGCCAGAGTAGGCACAAGGGAGGATCTGGGACCTCATGGCTCAGGGACAAAGGAAACAGAGAGAGGGTAAGACAGCAGCATAGACAGCAGCACAGACAATCAGATCAGTGCAGGCTGTCCCAGACCAGCAGCCTGGCAAACACTTTTGGTCAAGGATCTTGTTCTTCTGCTTTCTTTTTTCAGAGAGAAGACAAATCACCTATTCACTTGAAAAACGGAATTATTTTTGGATATGTTAAAAATTCTGTGCTTACCTGCTTTCCTTTTGTATCTTGTGATTATGAAGTAGGAAACTATGTAGAGAACAGCAAACAGGAGAAAACAGATCTGGAAAAGAAAAAAAAATTGCATCTATTAGGTTGTGAAGAAATGTCTGGATTTTAATAAACAGAAAATCCAGTCTCAACAATTTAAAACCGAATTCAGATCAACAAGAGTGTATTCTATGTAAATTTCAAGACTCTTACATTTTATATCTTATTAATAGAAAGCTAAACCCATAAGAACAGTTTAATTAGAATAACAGGTACTGGGCAATTATATGGCCAGAAAGTTTTACTCTAAAATTAAGAAAAAAGCCTTATTTACAGTGGGATTTTTTTTTTTGTCTGGGGGAGGGTTGGGTGGAGTGGGTTGTTTTTTGAAGTTTGAATCCACTTGAGTTGTGAAAGTTATCAGACTTATACGCCCTTCACATGTAACCTAAGGATAATTGTATCTTATACAGGGGGCTCTCTGAAGATCTATTTTGGAGTAAGCTGTAAAGCTGTGGAAAGAAAGAAACATGTTTACTATTTCCATCATGTCTTGAATCAAACTAATTCTAGGTGACAACACACACTCCAGAGAGACTCGTGTGCCTACACTGGATGTCCAAGCCTGAGCTCAAACATGATGTTTTCTTCACAGTCAGAAGCCAGGGGCACAATCTTCCTCTTCATAGGGCTGGGGGCTTATTTAGGTCAGATGAACCTTGAGCCCAGAGTGACTTGCATCAAGTTGTTTCTAAGATGTAGCACTGGAATTTCAACACAATAAGGTAAGACCAAATCACCTACAAATATGTCTGAAATCTTAGAGGAAAGGATTCAAACAGCAGGACAGCTTTAACCCTCCAAGTTTTTGTGGGGTTAAAAAAAAAAACAACAAAAAAACACATTTTATTTGCTCCTGAATGAGGTATCAGTGGCTCAACACTGTTTTCTTCATCTTGGGTGTTGATACTATTAAAAACGTGACTCAGTCAGACACGCAGCAAGAAGGAAGCATCTTCTGTGCAGCAAAATAACTTCACTGGGCAACAGCTGATCTATTTATTTAATCAAATCATTTGTAGATTTGTTGCCTTGAAAAACTCACTGTCTTAAAAAACTCATGAGCAGAAAAGTTACCCTAAGAAAAAGGGAAAAGTAAAAGAGAAGGTAGTGATGATAACCCTGGAAAATTTGCATCTAAGTAAGCATATTGCATCCAAGTCAGCAGATTCAGAGGGAGAAAGAATGCATTATTCAGGAAGGACAGCCTTTTTATAAAATACTGATAAAAATAAACTGAGAGTTATTTCCCTTGTGTAGTCAGACATTTCAGATTTAAAAAACCAAAGTATATCCAAGTATCTGAGCAAGGCATTTGGGTGCCTGGAACTGCCCTACAGGTGCCTCCCAGAAGTAGGACAGTGCTGTAGGTCTGAAAGTGGCAACCAAGCTCATTCTCTGTGCAGGCAATACACAGCAGCAACACCCAAAATACAGATGCTGAAAATTAGATTCCATGACTAGATCTCCGAATTCAAACATTTAATCTGAATAGAGCTCACCATTCCAACTTTCCTGAGGAAGCTTCAAAGAGGAAAAGGTTTTGATAAAAAATTCAATTCTTTAAATAAATAATTCTAATTATAAATAATGTTATTAAGATTTAACAAAAAAAGATGGTATATTTTTGAATCAGGAAGAACAAAAGAAACTGAGAACAGCCTTGGTTTTTCAGTACTCTGACCCAGCTTATCCTGTCAGTATCAGAAAATGCAATGGTAGTGCTGAAAGAGAATCCTTCTCCAAGCTTCCAGTTCCTCTGAAAACTAGACCAAGGCTACAGATAGAGACATCTAATTTTAGGCACCCACTTTTTAAAATCGGGTATCACGTACACAGGGTCAGTGAATTCTTTAAAAATCTGTCAGATCCAAATAACACTGTACTGACGTAAGAGAAATATGTAGTTAAGTTCATTTTTTGTTTAATTTTATTTAAAACAAGAATAAAAGTTACTGCAATCTTGTTTGTACCTTCAAATAAAACAAATGACCTTTATTCTATCTGTGATAGCAAGGTTACAATGAAAATGTGGGTCTGTGCTTAAAAGGTACCACTGAGATAAAGGAGATGTTTTGAAGGGCACAGCAGATAAAAGCTGTCCAGTAACACAAACTATCAAATGCTGCATTTCTGGTTTTAAATAACAGCTACTTTGCAACTCGACAGTAAGGGGTAAGTATGTATCTTGGTGTAATCATGCCCCTACTTCTGTCAGAATTGAGAACAACTTTGTACATGTTTGATAAAGTTGTTTATTATTGAGAATTCACATAATTTTAAAATGATGGGCAAGAAAACACATAAATTCTGATAAATGAAAGCTGTAGGATCTTAGCAAAAGAGAACTCATAAACTAAAAGTCCTTCAAACTGACCAAAACAAGTCAAGCGGCAAACTCAGAAATACTACTGCAGTCTCAATTTATACTCAGTGAAACCTCTGATCCTGAACTGTTTCTAACCATGCATTCTGAACAGCTTTCTAAAGGGAATAGCTAAAGTCAGCATCCTAACTATTTATAGAGTGGAACTCAGTTAAGCTGGGGAAAAGGAATGTGTTGCCCATGATAGCTGAAGAATAGGCTCCACTGTCCTGACATGCTGCAATCCTGGGTTCTTATTCCTCATGCTGCTGTTTGTTTCAGGATATTTTATACTGGGAAAAAAGAAAACCAGCTTTGTTTGTACTTGCTCAGCTTCAGTTCATGTTTCTCATATGAGTGACTGGGCTTGTGTGCAGCACTCCAGGTACAACCTTACAGCTGTAGGGACCAGCATTAAGTCCTTCTTGCTGTGTTGAAAGTGCTTCACCACATTCACCACATTCACCTGAGTAACTCAGCATTGTCCTCTGATTCACTGGATCCGTCCACACTGTCTTTTCCAACCACTTCCAGCAGAGCAGCTCTCAAGTTACAGTAGAAATGTGGATTAAGAGTTCAACTTCATCACATCTTTTTAAAAAAAAAACCCACACCTTAACGTCACACTATGTCTATGGGTTTGCCGTTCTAACCCTTTGTTGTGTTGACTACATCTCCTGAAGAACTAGGTTTGTGCTAACAACAGAGTGGTTTACTTCATTTTCACCTAAGTTGAGCAAGATTGCTACCTGAGGAAACTGAATGGTAGCTTTTTTTTCCTCCCAAAACACACCACCTTTTGTCATGTACAATACAGCCAGTCTCTTAGTTACTTTACAGCTCTTCCACTAAGGAACACTGACCCTAGTTTAAGAAATACCTTTTAATGCATTTCCTGGGTACAGCCCTTGGCATCCACAAAAGGAACACTCTAACAATAGCCATGTGGCTTCAGAAAACACAGTTCTTAGCAAGTCCTGATTTGACCTTCTCAAAAAACCCCTGGAAGAGAGCTAATTCTCATATGCATATGTTCATAGTACCCTAAATCATCTGTCAGCTTTCATTTCTAATCACTTATTAAAAAGCACAGGTAGTCATACTGAAATAGGGCACTACTCAGAACACCATAAAAAAACTATATCGATTTCTTCAGTGGAAAAAAAAAAGCCTTTATTCTTTCAATTCCATCTTTTCTTCAGAAAACTAGCATAAGTGACTGTATTGGAGCCAACACTGAAATATAATGCTAAATCTAAATCATTTTGCAAGCTGTTTCCAACCAAAAAGCGGGTTCATGCCATCATCTCTACACTAAGAGCTGACAAAAGTTAAGGATGCTAAAATACAGCAAATCTAGGACAAGCTATATTCCTCAGATCCCCAAGTTCTCAGCAAGGAGTTTTTCACTGGAGCTCAAATGAAGCTCTTTCAGGTTTGATTTGCAGAGACAGTTAAGACACTGTGCAAAGACTGTACCCAAATGTGATAAGTAAGGATTTCTGACAGCCCCCGATAGTGTTAACTGAAAAAAAAAAAAACCAAGAAAAAAAAAACACACTTCACAAGAAATAATACCTCCCAATATTAAAATTTATTTCCTTAAATTCACTCAAACTTTGAGAGACAAAGTAGTTGTGGATCTCCACACCACTCAGTAACTAAAAACGAAACACATGGATTCTATGTCACATAGAGGGGCTCCCTTTTAACAGGGGGCACATTAAGGAGTCTTCAAACCTCATGCGTGTAATTCATCCACATCTCTTCCCATGGACCAAATACAACCTCTGGTGGGACAAGCAAAAGAAGCCTGTCTTCCCCTGGAAGTGCTTTATGCTCCTGCTTAGATTACACACTAGACACGCCAAGAGAGGCTACTTGGAGACACACTGCACTACATTCTTAGGTATTTGGTATCCAACTCTTCCACAGAGTCATACTTCTGGATTTCTCACCCAAAGTCATCCAAGTATGATCCAAGTCATTCTTTTGGATCTGTAGCACACAGCTCCTGTGAGACTGGAGCTGGAGATCACCTGCATACATTTCAGTTCGTAACTATGTGTCTCTAAGGGGCTGACATTAAACACGAGCAATAACAGCCTGAACTAATTCAAATTACGTTGTACTTATCCCACTGACAATTACCAAGGATCAGCTGACACTAATTTGTCCATGTGGATGACCTTTAAAACTCTGGCACTGAAATTCATGCCTCAGATTGGAAAAAGCATCATTTTTTGTTGCAAGGGCTAGAGCTACCCTTTCATGATAGGAAAGACTATGCTCAAAATGAATAAGATTCTCCTTTTTTTTCTCTTACAAACAAGATTCAACCATCTTTTACAACTGTAATTCATGTGTGTGTGCATCAAAAACTGCATTTTCATGTACAGGAAGATCCACAGATTCTATTTATGTAGCATGGAATTATTCCCAACTGTTGTGCAGGAAGCACAGGTGTAGTTTACACAAGGAAGAAAGCACATAGGTGCCTTGTCCAATACCTCTCAATCACTGTGCCCTGGTAGCACACACTCCAAAGAGCATCCTGGGCTGTATCACCTGAAGCAAAGCCAATAATCATGGGAAGTAATTATCTCACTCCAGGCAGCATTCATCCTGTCACGTGGAGTTGCCGAGTC